GGGTTATTAGTGCATAGCCAGGCGGGTCTGCTTGGACACACAAGGGGCTAGGGGATTGATTTTAGGCGCAAAAGTTTTAAAGGAAAATGCAGACGCAACCTGCACCGTTTGCTTGTATGTTTTTGTTTTGCTCACAAGATTTTGACAGACGGGAGTGGCGAATGGAAGTAAGAGGTGGAAAGAGATGTAGGTTAGATGAAAAATAGTATTTGCGAGCGAAAGGGAGTGTGTAGCAGTGGCATTGGAGAAAGTGATCCAAATAGGCTGCATGTGTACGTGTTGGGGGAAGGCAGGGGAGAGCGCTATGGTGATCGAGTCGGAATGCCTCTCCATCCCCTTGCCGGAATACAAATGGCCTTACACTAACTTTCAGAAAGGGTAAATATTGCCGTGTATCAACCTTAAAACAAATCTAAACTGTAACTCTAATCCTAATTCTAACCTTAAATTTCCTGGAATTTAGGGCAATATCATTTGTCTAGATTCGCAAAAATCCGAGAACTTGAAGTCGCGCATCGGAGCAGGTTTTCATTAAAGCTTGGCCGACTCTCCATTTTCAAAGTGTCGACTGTGACTATCGATCAGAAATTTGAAAGACTGACCGAACTGGTCAGTCTTGGACTAATCGATCGGCTTCTCGTTTACTGCCTCGGCTCTCATATGGATGCTTGTGTAGCTTGACGGCCGCTAGTGTTGCAATTCATCACCACAGTGGAGGGTGCTGGTGAGTCTGCTTGCTTATTTAGTGGGTTCATCATCGGGCTATCTTCGCTTGCATTTCTTAAGTCCCGTGTAACCTTGTCCTGGGCTTTGTGCACATAATGGCACAGGGCTTCGTAAGCCACAGGAAAGTTTAGATTTCGGCTGACAGAATTGGCATCCAGATACCATGTCTCAAGCCTCACTCATTCGGGATCAATGTCAACATGAATCAAAACTTGTCCCGGCGGGCTACTTTAAGTTCTCAGAATATGGGATGATTCTTGTTCATATGTTCTGCGTGGTGATGGAAATATCAGCGCTTTCTGCCTAATGGAAATCAAAAAGCCCTCCGAAATGCAGATTAGCACAAGTAGTGCATCAAATTCACCAAGACAAAGTTTAGGAAGTAGAAAAAAGAAAAGTGTGCTGCAGTAAAGACAAACACAAGCTGGTTTGAAGCATAAAGTTAAACCACAACGCAGTTTTACCTCACAGGGTGTTGAACCGCGGTCAAGAATATAAAGATGGTGCACGGCCGTTTGTCGAGAGTCCTTCGGATGATTGGCGATGCGGAATATGTGAAAGGAATGGCCTTGGATGCAAGCCGTGAAGAGAAGAGAGCCGGAAGAGTTAAATGTCAGATAACCAACGTTGGCCCAGCGGTGTGCCTACGCACAGAGTGCAGGAGAAAAGGGTTGAGGGTAGGGAGTTAACCTGGAATAACGGTGAAATGCAATAAAAGCTGGTGGAACAAGCATGCTTCACTGAGCAGCAAAT